CCTTTTCTTTCAATTTACAACCACATTCAGGCGGCGATATGAGAACGTTCCACCACATGGAATTAGCTGATTTTTGGTACACATATGAAACAAGTAAAGCTCTATCCGATTTTCTGATGGAAATTTGCATCCAAAACTATATAACGGGAGAAAATTGCAATTTTATGGCATTTTTCTTCATAATTGTGTCTGCAAGTGCATTTTCATCCGAGAATTATTTTGTTTATGTTTTATGAATAAACACGATGTTTTGGAAATATTTATCAAAAGAAATTTATACTATGTTGCGAATTACAATTTCGAGATAACCTTCTTTTATTTACGAACTTATGTCTTTGATGCTGAAATTGACAACTTTATAAAAAATACATTTTCACTGAAATTATGAAATCTGGGTGTCGGAAAGGTGTAAAATTATTCTTCGGATAAGAAAAAAACAGTAGTTGAGCTAGATAAGAAAGTATACGGGGGCAGGCTCCTATGGAGAATTAACATTACTGGAAACAGGCCCTTACTTAAAAAGAAGACATCAATTGGTGTTGAATCCTATCAAAAAGCCTTTGGCATATCATAAAGCATCGAGTTTACATACACATGTTTTTCTAAAAGAATGAAACACGAAATATCTTTTAATAGTGTCAGTGTTTTATTGTAGTTGACTAAACGTGTTACTCTTGCAAATCTTTGCATCTATGGAATTGCTTAAAAGATATGAAAAATTTGAATAAGAGACGTATATATACTAATTACACAACTAGGGTCAAAATAATTCGATAGAATGCAATGTATGAAACTACGTATACGTGTGCTGATTGTTCAACGTGAGGTAACGCGTATTTTTCTATAGCTTCATTGGCAATACGAAATTTCTGTATTATGTCGCCTATTCGGTACAAATTTTTCGGGGCATCTATGGGTATCTAATAGCCGGTATGATGGATGTATTAAAGGTAGCGATGGATACGTTGATTGTAAAATTAAGAAAGGAAATATACAGTCTACTGATCAGCTGTACGTGATTTAATCAACGTCATATTGAAGCTTCTCATCCCGCCTCAATTAACATGAAACAAGTGTCAAACATTTTGGTGACATTAGGATGTTCCCAGAAATCGTGTTCGCGCCGATCACAGGGACTTGAGAATTTGTTGCAGCTATATTTGAACCTAAACTAAGGTGTTCCGAGTAATTTTACATGTGTCAGGCGTTGAGATTGACTTTCGATAAAAATGACACCCGCAATTATCATATATATACGAGTGATAATTAATATTAAAATAGAATCTGTTACAGCTATATTTGAACCTAAACTAAGGTGTTCAGAGTAGTTTTACATGTTTTAGGCGTTGAAATTGACTTTCGGTAAAAATGACACCCCAATGATTATATTTACGAGTGATAATTAATATGATCATTGCGGGTGTCATTTTTACCAAAAGTCAATCTCAACGCCTAAAACATGTAACACTACTCCGAACACCGTATTGTAACAGATTATCAGGTCCTTGTGGCGCCGATGACACAAATACTTCAATATCGAAAATATAAGGGAATATATATAATTAGGTCAATAATAACTTAAAATTTAGAATGAAAATATAACGGAATTGAACAGCATTTGTTTAATGTTCATGGCAGTATGAAATTGAAAAAGAAAAGCCGCCCAATACTTATGAAACTTGTTTACGTTCATACTAGCATTGAATTGAAAAGCAAAATGCCTTTAATTAATATACGATTTCGTGACACTGAACTTTTATTTTACCTAGATTTACATAAGTTTTAACGGTTGTCGAGGAGAACGCGTGTGCCCTTCCGGAACACGTGGTCTTATTCTCCTTGTTCTTTTTCAGTGGTCTCCATGTATGTCGTTCATTTTTTGATATTTCGCCCAATTATATCGATTTGTACAAACTGTATAGTATTTAGTCGGCATTGTACGAGACAAAAGAGATCTTAAATGGCTCTGCCGATGATAAAACTATATTAAAACGCGACGTAAAACAGCTCTGCCGAAAAAGTATGTCAACAGATAGGATGTGGAATTACCATAAAAGAGAATGATTAAGAATGCTCCGCCTACCAAAGATCACATTGCACTGACGTCAGGTACATGGGAAAGCAAACCTGCGGGACTATAAATAGCCATGTCCTACTTGAAAGCTTTGTAATCAGCCTTCTGCTTTCATGTAACACGTAAAACAAAAAGGTCGGAATAACGAGGGTACTTTCATGAAAATGATTTATTTAATCGTCTAGTGTCTGCGTTAATTAAGTTTAAATGTAAACATTATAAAGTAATTAATGTTACGTTAATTTAGAAAATCGGTTTACATCTTGTTTAAACATGTAGATAGATAATAGTTTGTTTAAACGTACAGTACGTTATAAACATTTATTTTCTTACCTTTGTCTGCTTCTGCCACCAGTAATACTACTTGGCGCTTTGATATATGCAATACGTTGACGCTATTATAATATATATATAACGTTTTCACTCATTTCTTTCCTAGTAAAAGTGTATGTATTTTTTTAAATGTGGAATGTATATACCAGCCTTTGTTTGTGAACTTCTAATAAGCCTGAAAAAATTTGTAATATAACCAAATTATAAGCCGTCTGCACAGGAAAATAAATGTTCATAGAGCATATAAGAGAATGAAAAGATGTAAAAGGCATTAGATTCCAACCTTGCAATTATTTATCATATCTTCATTTTTTTCTGATTGTTAAGTTTCTATATTTTTGGAAATATGTTAAATTTCATTTCGTTCATACATACCACATGGCGACCACGTGAATCCTGATGTATGCACTGACGCAAGCAAACTGCATATTACGACTAAGACATGAACCCGTGTACTGGCCATCATTGCTCCAAATGGTTAAACAACTTATACTCGCTTGTAATGTAGACTGTATGTGTTATCTCTGAGTCAGTTTCTATGGAATAATCTCCAGGTTTTTGGGTCACAGGCTAAGTTCATGTCTTATTTTTATTTACATATGTATACCATAACTGCTAAACAGGTCAGTTTCCCCCCTCACCCTAACGACGAGGGCATGATACGGTGTCGGAACACAAGCACGGGTATACACAAAGCCACTCTATATATCATTATTCCCAGTATTGATGAACATATAGGCGTGTGTTGCTCCCAGACCACTCTAAGGGATTCGCGGCTTTGGCAAAAACACAAACGTATTTATAGTGTATACATACGTCTCTGGCTAAAATCAAGTAATGAAAACCGGTTGAATCACTGAATTAGGTTCAAGTCTGTTGTTGTTATTAATTCTTTAGTTTATTCAGTTAAAAGGCACACATATACTAAGTACGTTTTACGATTTTGACGTTATTATATCACGTAAGAAAATTACATTCCTAATTTCAACTTCATCTTTATTGTATTCTCTTTATAAACTTACCAATGTCAGAGAAAACATTTACAACAGTATACAAAATCAAATGTGACTTGTTTGAATGACAATGATGTTTTCTCAACATAAAATTCTAACATCTGTGCATAAATTTCTAAAAAAATATATCGTTGTGTTTAATTATTCATTCATTCTGAAAACTCAACAATATTAGGCATGGCCGGTATAGTGATATTCATCTAAATTTATGACATGCTTTCAGTAGACAGAAAGGGACAATTTAACAAGACGTGAAATTAGTCACCAATGTCTTGAGAGTCGCAATATGTACATATACTGTTTTGGTACTCAATATTATTCCGCCTTTCAGTTTCCACTTACTATAGTTCTATACACCGTATTTGCAATACAATTCGTTCATTATCATTTTGCAATTCCAGACAATTTTCAAAATTACGATTATATTTGTGTATTCTGTAATACACAGACTCATGGGAATAAAAAAAGCAACTTTTTTTTTCTTTTTTTTTTTATACAAACTTGTCAGTCATTCAGTATCTGTTGTGTAGTAGGCCTAGTTTTACCCATAGCGTACGTGTGACTATTTGGATATATTCATCAATCAACATTAATTTAAAATACTTTTTGTATAAATATGAATTCACACAATTTACTTTTTTTAGAATGTAGCACATTCTTCCCCATAACACATTCTAGTTAATAAAACAGCATATATGGTCATGAAATTGTTTTTATTAATATAAAAATAAAACAATAATAATATCCCAGAGTGTAGATAATCAAGAATTAAATCAGACAAATTAAGCTAAAACTTATGATATTGAATGAAATGATTATTTGCTAATTAAATAGATACAATATTGAACTTGTGTGTATCTGTACGTAAGTCTTGTTAGCTTTGTTTTCTTAAATTAAACGACATGTTTTATTTGCTGTTTGTTGAGTATTATTGAATAAGGATACAATTTGCTCTTTTTCGATATCTAAAAAGAAAAGATATAAAAGGTTTATTTGCCGCCTCGGCTATCAGATAATGATATAATCTTTATAAACTCCGTTCATTTATAACCGTAACCTAACAAGACTGTTACCTCTCAATAACGTCAAATCTCGAGGCAGGCGAGATGTTTGTTTTTCCGCTTGCGCATGCGTCACTTGTCCTAACAACCTGTCAACAAAATTTACCACCAATTTACAGGATCTTAGGCCACACGACTTCGGTAAGTTAATCGTCCATTTGCCCCAAATATATAACATAGCTATTCTTTTATCCTTAATACAAAGAAATATATGTTTGACAGATGTTAACAATGGCTATTGATGGGATTTTAGATAGGCTACCGCATGGGTACAGTTAGCAATCGGACAACGAGGAACATCCTGCTGATCATCACCAACATAACAATAGTCTGATCTTTTTTGTCTAGAAGAGCGATGCACTGACGTCTTTTCATTTAGCAGTTTGATATATATTCTATTTATTTACACGATAACGTCATCTATGATATAATCAGTTGAGTTTCAAAAAGCTTGTCACGGGAATGGTTACGGGTGTTATTGACATTGGTTGAGACTGTTTGGAAAATGAATGAGTATCAAGAATGGTCGTATTCCGGACCCTCGTATTCCCCTATCATGCATTGTACTGCTTAAATCAAATGACGCATTCACATTCGGTTGATTTTCACTGCATGCAAGAATAAAATGTATGTTCGAAATATCCTTTAGTTACAGATAGTCCTTTATCAGGTTTGGCACAACGGACCTTTTTTGTTATAATGTGTAAAAGAACTTTGTGTGTTTTCATGTCACTTTATTCCCCATTTCAGTAAAACAATCGTTTGTTATAATGGGTAACTGTTCCCCAAATGCATAATTATTACCCTTATGCGGCGTTTTGCCCAACCTGGTTATATATACATATATTTTTTCTATTCAGTAATTTTTGCATTAATTCTAGGACGATTTTGAAATGATCCTGTTAGGCCTACCACAAAACTATCTGCACTGTGTATGTCTATGGGGTACTGCCCAACTTCAACACGTTGAAGATAATTGGCAAAAGAGATAGCTATGCTGGTTAAAAACTATATAACAAGAGGTCTAATAAATGTGAGAAAGTGCTAATTTGAAGGAATCAAGAGAATCAATAGAGGTGATGTGTCACAGTAGGTTGTTCCAGTCGGAAATAGTTCTTGGAAAGAAAGAAAATTTGCTACACTGTGTTTTCGAGATGGTCTTGGGTAAGAATTTTGATGGGAATGGCATGAGAGGCGATTTGGTGGAATGAGTGTATTTATACATATAACTGTTATTAAAATGCACACTGTAGGTACCATATATACCTAGCACAAATGAGGAAAAATACTATAATGAGTTAATTAATTTCATGTAAATCAGATGTAATGAGATTATTTTTATTACATTCATGTACAAAGTCCTGTATGTATTTCTAACTGTTGTTATTTCAAGTGGTTTTATACATACCAAAGTGGTCAAACCCCGTTTTGGATTGAACCGATTGGTTAAATTTTATTCACTTATCAAATTGATTAATTGTGACAATATTTATTTGTTTTGTTTAACTTAAGCACCAATTTTCACGCTTTAAGGTAACTGTTAATTTGTGGCCGTAATCAAAATAATGACAGGCTCTGTATGTGGTATTTACAACTACCTGTCTATTGCTACATGGCTATGGTGCCTTATGATACAGTTACAGTACACCTGTGTACTCTCCATGATTAGGGCCTGGGCTGATAAGCCTTGACACGAGTGCAGTTAATTAAAATACAGGCCTGTCTCACACAGATCTTATTACCGTCGCAATGGATAATGACTGGACATTACAGTAACACATGTCTCATTATTGTAAATGTTCTTGACATCATTTTTTCAAACATTGTTGTTTGGTTCAAGTTATGATTGGGTGAAATCCACGAATGTATAAATTTGTATATTTTGGTAATCTATTGGTCGTGAAAGATGAAGGGCGGGGGGTGGGGGGTAAAATATCATTGCTTTGCATATTATTATTTGTAAACCATACCTGGTAAAACATCAAAACATAAGCTATTTGTTAAATTATCCTATTCCTGTTTTCAGGTCAGTGTGAAGATGTACAGCCGGGGGGTGACAGGCCTGAGTGCCTACAGTCGGGAGAGCAATGAAAAGCGACAAAGGAAAAGTAACAGGGTACAAGTATGGGCCAGGATTCGACCCACCGCAGAATTTGCGCACAACTGTTTAGAACTTAACCAAGATGGTAAGGTAAGTACAGATGTAACAGGAGGAAGAGAAATGCAACAGCCAGATCAGCATTAAAATGCAGGACCCTCCAATTTCTAGACATACACTCTACCAATTGAGCGAACTGGTCACCATCTATCGACCCAGTCCAGTTCCTCTACACAGATAATCAGGAGATACTGAGTGTTTACTTTTTCCCTCATCTACCAGCTAGTTTAACCCTTTCACTACTGTAGATCATAATGGACTCATTCGGATCAAAGCATGGAAGAGTTTACTAAATTTACATAGGGGTGAAAGGGTTAACTGCACCATTGAATGATGCAAATCCCCCCCCCCCCCCCCCCCCCCCCCCCTCAATGTATCATTGTGAGACAGATCTTTCTATGTACATGCAGGGCCATGGATCCCTCAAAATCAGAATTTGCCCTTTCTTTTTCCATTTAATTTTAATTTTACATAAAATGGATCATATTATTTTTGACATCGACTTAAAAAGCTCCCAGATTTTCCCTGGGGTAAAGATAAATTAATGGAGTCAACAAATATATTTAAATATATATATGAGTGTCATCTTTTTTAGAGCATTAATGTGCATATGAGAAAAGATGGGCGGAAAGGAGTTGTCAATAATCAGATTCTGGATTGGTCATTTAGACTGGATGGTATATTTCACAATGCCGGTCAGGAGGACGTCTTTGGCTCTGTGGCATCTGACCTTGTGACTTCCGCTTTAGATGGATACAATGGTAAGATTGGGTTGATCACTGGCGAGATCCTTTTGAGAGAGTAGCTTATCACACACCCTAATGGATAAACTCAAGTTTCTTTGGTAAATTATACCTATATAAAATTGATAGATTTCAAACTACTAAAATATGTTTACAGACAATGTATAAAAAAAAATGATAATCTTTTACACTCCTGTGACAGATTCATTCCCTTGTGTTTACCTGTGTGAGAATGTTCTGTCATACTGCAGGGTAGGTCAATTGTGTGCTTTCACATTTAAATAGAAACAGACCAAATTATCCATGTTGCAAAATAGCATTTTGTGCAAACAATTACCAACCACTAGCTATAGATTGTGGAACGGTGAAATCTAAACCTTGAGTGTTGAGATTTCTGTCCGACACCTGAACCACCTGATAGATACAAAATACATAATGTGTGACCTTATGAACTGATTATGAAATACGACTTTGACAGGAACGGTGATGTGTTACGGCCAGACAGGAGCTGGTAAGACGTTTACAATCACAGGTGCCACTGAGAACTACAAACAGCGGGGTATTGTTCCACGGGCCATCTCTCAGCTCTTCAGGGAAATTGAGGAGAGACCAGAGTATGCTATTACTGTCAGGTACGTAATTCTAGGGAAATTATCATTAGGGCTGTCATAACACACCGGGAGTGTATCGTAATGTATTACAATACAGATGGAATGTTTTGTGATACATATATCTCAACATATTGCCAAAGGAGATAGGAGCTCATTTAAAAAGAAATTGTTGTTAAAATCTTATCAATCTAAACCATATTTTACACGGATCATACAGATGTAAAGATTTTCATTAAACCAACCATCAAGTATGACATTTCAACTTTTCCCCTCCACTGGTTAAAGCTACTTCATGGTTTTTAAGCATTTTAGTTAGAACTTAGAAAGTGTAGTAATTTACAAAGTTAAAACATGTAGCAGATTCATAAAAATAACCATTTTAAATATATTGAGATTCAGCAATATTTCATTTTTGTTTTGTGATATGATACAATATCCCTGTGTATTGAGATGCACAGGCTTTCTGATATATGTATAATTATGACAGCCCTAGTGTGCTTTACAGATTTTGGTGTTATTCTTTTACTTGATTAAAATACCTTCTTATACTAAAAATCTTATTTATATTCAATTGTTCTATACATCATAAACAGTTTTTTTTATGTGATTTAGGGATTTCAGCCTGAAAAAATGGGGGAATGTTATTTCTCATCTGGAATGGGGCAACATTTGGGTCCTTAATTTGACCTCTAAAACACTGGCTGTTTAATAATGTTAACCCTTTAGATAAATATTTACTTGTATTGTCCATGCATGCAAAACAAATAAGGATGCAAATGTCAAGGATCAAGACAAACTGAACAAGGTAGAAACTTAAACATATCACTGATTTTTTGTTGGAAACATTCCTGGTCACAAGTGTTAGAATATGATTGTTTGTATCTTTCATGGTTTTGCCAGTCTAAGTATCAGAAGATAATGGTATTTTTATTTTCTATTCCAGGGTATCATATTTAGAAATTTACAATGAGAACATGTTTGACCTCCTGTCGACCCTTCCGGAGTCCTGGAACCAGGCTAACCCCGAACAACAAATGGTCGTTGTGGAGAACCAAGATGGAGTCTTCGTGAAGGGCTTGTCACATCACATAGCTCAGAATGAAGAAGAGGCTCTAAACTTCCTATTTGAGGTAACTTAAAACCTTGTAAATTCACAAAGATGGATTGTTAAATACTGTTTAAGATGGTGTTTAATGTTTTCTCTTTTTTGTTTTACATTTTTGATAAAAAAATATTGTATTTTAGAATTTGGACTTGATCAGCTGCCTAGCTTAATACTTTGATATCATCACAAATATGGGCTAAGGTTGGACAACAATCAACAGAAATAACAGCATGTGTATTTCTAACCATATCATTCCCTGTTGTTCAATGGTTTTCAGATGTTTAGGTTAAATCTAAAAATTTACGACTTTCCTTCTAACGCACTCAATAGAATAGCTATATTCATACTATTACTACCGTAAACGCTGTCAAAATAAAAGCAAATCCTTACAATAAAATACATAAAAATAGGAAACCAACTATCCAATTTACATGATTTTCCAACTTATAAAATTGTAAAATTTTATATTTATTTTGTTGGTTTGTCTTTGTTATACAAAACTCCTTACAAATCCTTAAAGAGATGTATTGAAAATATTGTTTTTCTTTTCATCCCAGGGAGAGACCAACAGAGCAATTTCCGCTCATTCTCTGAACAAGAATTCATCCCGGTCCCACTGTATATTTACCGTCTATATAGAGGTAAGTTAAGGTCTAATCACAGTAACTGTGTTTTGTTTGAAAGCCCTATGACTTTTTAACTTTATTTAATTTATCAAAGTCTCTATCAAATGGAACCTCATAAATTCCCACACCCTTTTGACAAAATTGGTTACAAATTTTCTAATCAATGAGACTCATGGGAATGTCACAGAAATGTTATCTACATTTTAAATATAAGTTAGTACATGTAAAAAAGGAAATTTTTTGGATTGTCTAAATTTTGATTTTCATTGTAACACTGTCATCATTTTTATTTAAGAAAGAAACCCATAAACCATTTAACCTTATTTTCAAAAAGAATCATTTGATTAATACATTTGCCTAATTTGGTATTTTAATCAGCATATAAATTTACATAATATGTATATTAGATTAAATTTTGGTAAATTTGTGTTTTTTTCAAAAGAAAAGTGTTGAATTGGCTCAAAACAGTTTTAAACATGAAGCACACATTTATATCAATTTTGCTATTATTTTTCCTACCCAGACACGCTCCAGAGTACAGTCCAACGCTAGGTACACGGTGTCCAAGTTAAACTTTGTGGATCTGGCAGGTTCTGAACGTCTTGGAAAAACCAAGGTAAGACTACCATATGTTTAGGAAATTGAATTTTAATTGCTCAATTAAAATCAGATCAAAACAATGTTAATGAGAATTTTTGTATCTGACTGATTATTTGAGAACAGCATATATTACCTTGGCCATTTTCGTTTAAACGGTTAAACCGGTCGGACCACAGTTGTTCGTTTATTAAATAAGGTCGGACCTAGTAATCTAATGCTGCTTTCAGGCAAGCCTTGACAAAGCCTTGCAAGGCCTGCATAAACATTTACAGGTCCACCAGTATTCATACCCAAAATTGTTACATTTATAAACGGACAGGCCCCTTTACTCCACCAAGTTCTCATCTGAAGATCAAGGGAGATAATTCAAGCATACTTGTACTCTTTCTCCTGCCAGTACTATGTGTATGACATGGGCAATCTTCTATAGATGGATTTCCTATGTCAGATAAAAGCTTAATACCTTCATTTCTTACATATCAATGAGCCATATATATGTAATGTGTATCAATTTTAAAAGATTTTTTTCCAAGAAATTTAAGTTAGACTATTTAACAGGAGAAATAGAAGTCATCTTTACAGTATTGATTTTACATAGTCATTCTATCAAAATTGCAATAAAAAATAAAAAAAGTACTGGAATTATTTTAACTTCTTAAAGTGGTTGTTATAATACAGTTTTTAGATGCTCCAACTTATTTTAAGGGTGCATGAAATGTGGATAATTGTCTTCTACCGTCTTCTTTTGAAAACCAGCTCCGTCACTATAGTTCAGAAGAATTTGAAAGAATTGTCCTTAGCTTCACTAATGCTTTCCCATGGAAAATCTTCAGTTAAGGAATTTCCGTCAGTTAAAAAACGTTTGGGAAGCTAGAGCCTGATATACATGATCTATTTGAATAAGATGGATTATACTTATATATAGATTATAGAAAGAAGTCAATTTTACCTAGAAAGGTTCGGTTTAATGTCTTTTTAAAGTATAAGGAACCACATCTGTGTATTGTAAAAGTTAATCAGAATTATAGTATCAATCCAGGAGAGTGATCAAAGATGTGTGCCTTGACTTACAGAAATACAAGGTAATCAATAACGGTGTTTGGTATTTCAGTCTGAAGGTAAGACCCAGCAGGAGGCCATGTACATCAACAAGTCCTTGACCTTCCTGGAGCAAGTGATCGTGGCCCTGGCCGATCGGCGCCGTGAACACATCCCATTCCGTCAGTCGAAACTCACACACTGCCTCAAGGATTCCATCGGAGGAAACTGTAACACACTGCTGGTAGCCAACGTGTGGGGAGAATCACCACAGCTGGAGGAAACGGTAAGTCAGCACTGTAGTGATATTGATTATTAATCTTAATTAAATTTCATTTTTACAAAGTACAATACATATTAGTGGCCTATTGTTTGTGTTACTCAGAGAAAAAGTACATAAGTTTTTAAGTCTGTTAACTTATTTATTTTAGTTTTGTATATTTAAATGAATAAAAATTGTCGATAAAGCATGTCTAATGCATTCAAATACATCTAATTTCAAGGTTAAGTTTAACCGATTGTACACAAAAAGAGTAAAAAAGAAATAGGCTCTTCATGGGGAACCATCAGGAATTATTTTCAGACATACATTATAAGATTGTTATATCTATATTGAGCAATGAAATTAACATTTTTAAAGTTTTTTAAACAGAAATGTTCATTCAAGAAAAAAGATTACAAAAGCTAAAATATAAGCAACTATAAAAAGTAATCACTGTTAATTTTAGAATTAATTCAAGTATGCAGAATGAACAAGCATTAATGTTGGAATATTTATGACAGGATAGCAGAAACAATGAAACACTATTTTAACAGTTGATCAAGTAACTATAGTTAGTTTAATTCATAATAAATATATCGTGTTATTTTCAACAGTTTTAGAAAAGAATCTGATAATTTAAGATAAGGTTGAGATGAAAACAGGCTAGTTAATTTGTATGCAGATGTACCTTGTAACAAGATCTAAAACGAAGCTGATATGTGAAGCTTCCAGCTACAGGATTAAAACTTACCTTGATACAGGTATAACACAGGTAGAATACAGGTACTCGCAGCTAATCCTCGAGTGTATGGGAGATCGATGATTAAAGCCACAGCATGGAAAATCAATACTATTTTAATTATTGATGTGGCATTGATTCCGCAGAGATGAAAACATCAATCAGGGACTGACATTTGGGTCGGCGTAGTCTGTTAGCTTGATCAACAATTTATTTTTAATTTCAAAATGAAATCTGTGAGAAATATCTTTAAATTTATATTCTCTACAAAATACCATTTTGACCTCCTACACAAAAAATATTATGAAGTCAAATATATTTTGGATAGTGTGTGATTCAGCTGCTCACTCATAGCCCAGGCTATAATTAGGTAATTTGGTCATAGGTTAGGATTAATATAGATATTTTGACTGTATTTAAAAGTAAAAATATTGAAAAAGAACAAACATTTTATTCAATTTCTTTTGCCATTTTTTTAAAAACATTGCCAGCTTCAAAATGATATTACATGTACACCATTTTGTTATTCAATATATTATCACAACATTGAAATGTTTTAATAAATCTGTGCAAGAACGATCACCTGCGGATAAGGAAACAATGTTATTGAGCTATTTAATAATACATTTTAAGAGATTTAACAAAAATGACATTTGAATACCTCATTTTACAACTTTTAAGTTGACAAAACATTTAACACCTAGACCCAGATCTTAGTTTCACTGTGTGGCTATAGATACGACTCTGATATATAGTCCCGTGAGATTTCACCGTACCATTCGGTTGAGTATCTTTAATATTTAACGATCTGTTGTGCAGAGTCTGTTTAATATTTGATGAGCACTGACCATCATTTACCTGAACATGACACATATAATGCAACATCAACCCTGTGAATGGTAATGGAATCTTCTATTCTTTAAATATAGACTAATCTATTGTGTCTTATAGGTGGAATTTTCAATTAGGTAAATACCTTGTCTGTTCCTACAATTGTTGACTTTTTTATTTCTGGTAACGAACATCATGAAAGCCATGTTGTCATAGTTACGGTGCCCAATACAAATACACACACATATACAGAATAAAAACCGTACAGGAACATGAACTCAAACAAGCCAGACATTTATAGAAAGCAGTTGGATATTAGTCATAAAGTTATCTGTTCTGTTGGGATTTTTGGGATTTTCTTTAGCTACATTTATGTATAAATGTATACATGTATAATTATGAATGGAATTTCACCAAAGATACCAGGCAATTGTCGGATTGTGAAGAATTACTACATATGTAGTCTTCAATTATTAATTAATTGAAGGTATAATATTGAACATACATTTAAAACTCTCCTCTGTGTTGATAATTCAGCAGCTGTGTTTTTGTGGTGAGTAACATGTCAAAAGCTGGCAAATACTTTTGAGTTATACAAGTATTTAGAATAACTTCAGTTCTCTTTGGATTTCATCATTAAGTTTTAACAAACTACACTTGTATGAGTACACAACTACTATATTGTGGTTTGAATCAAATCATTTGACTTCTCAGTATTCAACACATTTTGGATGAATTACTACATAGTGTAGTAAATAGATGGAAACAACCCGGATCAGCCAACCTGAGTTTGAGTTAGGAGTCTTATACTGACATCCAAGTCAGATTAAGGAGGTTTTACTGTACAGTGTATACAGTAATACTGTATGATCTAGCGGACAACCTTTCTGTGTTACTAGAGTAAGGAGGTTTTACTGTACAGTGTATACAGTAATACTGTATGATCTAGCGGACAACCTTTCTGTGTTACTAGAGTAAGGAGGTTTTACTGTACAGTGTATACAGTAATA